CGTTTTTTTTTTAAATTGAATTTTTTTTTTATAAACAAAAAATTTCTTTTTTTTTATTAATAAAATTAACCGTAGCAAATATGGCCTTAACCCTTTTTTAACGATTAATTTTATACTTTAGAAAAATTATAATCTCTAATGACAATCAATCATTATGCACACATACACACCTTCGTCGAAAGTTTTTTTTTTTTTTTTTTTTTTTTTTACGAGTCATTTTATAATAATATTTAAAACCTTTTCCGATTCGTTCACGATGAACATAAAAACCCATTCGATCTCCATTTTTTTTTTTTTTTTTTAAATGTTGGTAAAACTTAATGAAGTGATTCGAATTAACGAATTTAAAAAATGGCTACTACGTATTTACATTCAATTCCTCGTGATAAAACAATTATTATTATTATTAATTAATATGGTGGATGATTTTGACGCGTGAAATGATGAAGAATAAAATGTTTTTTAATTATTACAACTTCCTAATTTAAAATGAGGGAAAACCAAAAAAAAAAAAAAAAAAAAAAAACAAAAATTCGTTAAAAAATCGTCGTTATTCAAATCGTAACGGATTTACCGAATTTCGCGACTCAATCATTTTTTTTTTTTTTTTTTTTTGTAAAAAAACCCCCCGCCCCTTTTTTACGCATATAATTAAGTAAATTTTTTTAAAATTAAAATGACCCACGTAGTTACGACAATTGTTACGTCATAAAATCCCTCACCCCAACTAAAAGATAAGTTAAAACCGTTAAAAATTTAAAAATGCTGACGTTGCAACGGATTCGACTTTAAAAGCAGAAGACAAATTTTTCATTTTAATTTTGAATTCGCGAACACAAATTAAGAAAAAAGAAATGAAAGATGATACGGAGAAAAACGCGTTTCGAAAATTTTTCCGCGGATTTATACGGTAAAAATACGAAAATTATTAATAAAGTTTAAATTTTTTTTTTTTTACAAGGCGGTGAGTAAGCGAATAATAATCGTTCGAAAAACAACTTTTAAAAAAAAAAAAAAAAAAAGTGGTTTTAATTTTTTGCTCACTTTTACCTATGACGTAATAAATTCGTAATGGCGGTTAAAAGTTCAACAACAGAGCCGATTTATTAAATAAAATAAAAAAAAGAAAAAGTTGACGGATTTTTCTTTTAAATTAATAATAATTTATTGGCAAAGTATCGAAAATTAAAACCATTTTTTTTTTTTTTTTTTATAATTTATTTAAAATTAATAGAATGTGAAAGAAAAAATAATTATTAAATTTAACAAAAAAAAAAAAAAAATTCAGTTACGTTTCAAATACCTAATTGGAAAAAGTAAGTGAAAATTTTATATATATATATTTAAATAATAATAATAATTGTTTTAGAGAGTTTTAAAGAGGAAACCAACCAATCGTAATTTGATTTGATTTTAAATACATTTTTATTATTGATAATAATAATAATAATTTACGCACTTTAAAAAACTTTTGTTTTAAAATATTTCGATTCGAGACGTTCATTTTTGTGTAATAAATATTTTGTAATAAATTTTTTTTTTTTTACAAAATATTTCCTTTGAATTAAATTTAAAAAATAAGTACGCATTTCACACATTAATTTTCCATTTCCAAAACTAGTTTTTTTTTTTTTTTTTTTTTGTTAAGATTTTGTAATTAATATTATATTGTAGCAGTAGTGAGAGTAAATAAATAAATAAATAAAACCACGGAATGATAATTTATGTAAGTTTCTTGCTTCTACACACACATGTATATTCCTTTTTTATTTTTTTTTTTTAAAAAGAAAATAATAATAATAATAATAATAAAATTACAAACGATCCGATCTTAACCGTAGCAAAAAAAAAAAAAAACGCAAATTTGTTATTTAAAAAGTAATGAAACGAAATTTAACCTCTGCTTTTTTTTTTTTTTTTAAGTAATTATCGAAATTTTCAAAAATGAAATTTAAACAGAGAGAAATGCCATTTTTTTTTTTTTTTTTTTTGTTTTCACTTTCCCGTTCGGGGGGGGGTGTGTGCGTGTGCGTGTGCGTGCATTTGTTATTATTATCATTAACGCCCTTTTATCCGAAAATTTTAAACTGTTTAACTAGTCGTTAAAACTAATTTTTTACACATTTAAATTCGTACATCATTTTAAATGAATTTTTGTGTTACCCGTCACTTTTATACTAATCGACCGATTACTTTCATCCCTTAATTTATTTCAATGTTGGCAATCCTACCCAATCTAACCTTCACTCGTATCATTTAATATTTCATTTTGCGATGAATAATAATAATAATAATAATGTGAGACACAATAAAATTAAAATGTCATTGTCAAATTCCTGTGTTAGATATATACCCGACAAATAACCCCTCTCCCCCACCCCCGGGGGGTCCCATATAACAATTTCGATTGAATTTACAATTTATTAAAACCTTTCGAATATTCAAAACGTGAATGTAAATTATTAATAATAATAATAATAATTTTAATTAGAACGAAAGTTTTTTTTTTTTTAAATAAATTAAAAATTAATTCGGGTAGAATTAATCTTTAATTAATATTATTATTATTACGCGTAAAAATTATGATTTTAACACACACTCTCTCTCTCTCTCTCTCTTTCCTTTCTCCTGTTGTTTGCTCATCGAAATAAATGATATAAAAAAAATAAAAAAAAATGGAAAGCGTGACACGAAACCGGACTTTAAATGGCGGTTTATATATTTTTTACTTATTTGTACTCATTCGAAAATGGCGCAATACCTTCAGATAAATAAATAAATAAGTAAATACCTTGTCGATTAATAGATGACGTCGACATTGAACCACGCACGCTCCATTATATGTTCTTGTTCCGTATTTAAATTATTATAATAAATTTACGTGAAGACAGGGGGGAGGCAGACGAAACTTTTCACATCACACACACATATGTAAACACATTGAAATATACCTGAAAAGAAATTAAATTATTAGTTCATATACGCCTGTGAATGAATTACAATATAAAGTATATTTAGTGTAAAATATTCGATTGTGTGGTATATTTATAATAATGGGTGCCGGTTGTTGTTGTTGTTGTTGTTGTTGTACAAACCACAAAAATTTTCACTTTCGGATTTAAAAAAAAATTGTTTATTTGAAACCTAGTGAGATTTTTGACCTTATTTTTTTATGTGCTCTTGCTTTGTGTTTTTTTTTTTTTTAAGGTACTTTTTAACGTATTTGTTTTATTATTATTTATTTAATGATATTACATAACTTTAATTATTAACTTATAAAAAAAATTCATATTTTTATTAATTACAAGTTTATTCACATCAATCAATCCTTTTTTTGTAAAACTTATTAATAAAATTATGTAATAATAATAAAAAAGGTTTTTATTTTTTATTTTCAGGTTCTAAAAGGGAAGAATATAATATTTATTTAAGAGATTATTCGTTATCAAATGACATTTAAATAAGTGTGATATTTACGGGAAAAAAAATAGTACTTAAGCACAAGTTCCTCAACGGACATTTATGTAAGTTTTCCTTTTATTTTTCTTTTTTTCTTCCAGTAAAGTCTATTATTATTATTATTATTATTTTTTCGTGGCATTAGTTTCACGTGATTGCGGTGTAAATTTTTATTGTTAACAAAAACAAAAAAACCTCGTGAAATTTATTTTTTTTTTACATAAAAAGTAACGTAAATTAACCGTGATAATAATAATAATGATAGTAGAATTAAAATATACGTTAAAAAAAAAAAATTCATTCATCAGGTATTAACGAGTGTTATTATAAAACCGTTTCATTTATTATTATCATTATCATTATTATTATTTTCCAACGGATTACAGAAGTAAAATTATTTAACTGACACATTTTTCATTTGACTTCCATTTTTTCCATTAAATCAATTTGTTGTTGTTTTTTTTTTAATTAGCGAAAATAATAATAATAATAATAATAGTAAATTTCGAATTACAAGAATCGAATAAATTATGCGGTTGGTATCAATGGTTTATGCGAGAGGATTTCTATGCCAAAATGTAAACAAGCAAGTAAAATTTTGGGGGAAAAAAAATGCTACAAATCTCTCTCTCTCTCTCTCACTATATTATTCCCCCCCTCCCTCCCTCCCTCCCCCCTCACCATTGATTTTTCTTATTAATGTGACATTATTGAATGATGCATGCCTTACTTGAATTTCATGTTTTTTATTTATATAACGCGTTTTGTAAGTTTCTCAAAGTGGTGATATTAATGATATCTATCAACTTTATTATTTAAATAAAAAAAAAAAAAATGAAAATTTCAAACAACTTTTCGAAAAGTTTTGTCGTTATTATTATTATTATTATTATAAAACATTTGATTAACGTAAAAAACCTATTTAAAAAAAATGCCAAATATTTTTTTTTTTTTATTTGTTTTCGGGGTTACCAGGTTAGTATAAATGAATAATTTTCACTTTTTTTTTTTTTTTTTTGTAAATATTAATAATGTTGACCATCCATTGAACGTTGAAAGTATTTTAATTAAAAGGAATAATTTTCAATGTTTATTATATATTATTTTGTTATTAATTACACGTTTCGGAATTTTAACATGAGTTTAATATACCGTTTAAAATAATGTAAAAAAAAAAAAATAATAATTCACCTGAAAAACTAAAATGGCGGAAAATGAGCAAAACTACTGCCACGGTTGAAATTTTCTTTTTTTTTTTTTTATTACGCGAATTAATAATTTGTGGTCGCCTTTCGGCCTTGAAACAAAAATACATGTTTATATAAATTGATATACGCACTATTACTATTTTCGGCCCTGAGGTTAAAGTTACAGATAATAATAATAATAATAATTTTTTTTGGATTGTAACATATTTCTATTAAAATTAAAATTTTTAAATTTTCGATAAACAAATAAAAAAAAAATTTTTTTTTCTAACCCTTCCGATATGATAAAAATTGTAATAAGTTTTTTCTTTTCGCTTTTATTTCAGGTACGAAATGCAGAAAATCTGCGCGGTAATTCTATTTATTGCAATAATAGGACTTTGCGAAGGTCACCCGCAAAAATGGAGTAGACCGATTCCAAATAGTCAAACGGAAAATGTAAGAGAAAGGCGTCAGTTTCCATTCGGAGACTGGATTCCGTTAAATAAACCGTGTCCAACGTGTCGACCTCTGGTCGATCCTGTAGACGTCGGACAAAAGAGCGAAAACATAGGACTCACACCACCTAAACCTCCAACGGTAACGAGGCAAATACACGGAGATGGAAATTTTTTCCCACAGGATGATTCAGCCATTTTATCCGTGCCGCCGCCACCTCCGAGATTACCAATTACTCCGGGTCCGAATGGAAATTTTCAATTTCAAAATTTTGCCACTTTTACCAATTCCATACCGGGACCCACGCAACAAATATTTTCTCAAACTCCCCAAATACAATTTGTGTCTCAGCCATTTTTAAATAATCAAAATCTTCTAGTCAATTCGCATCATCAACAAGTTCTTCCCGTTTTAAAAAATGCTGTGTTTAGTCAAAGCAGTCAAGGAGGACAAGGTTTTGAAAAGAATCCCCGAGTTGAAACGAACAATTTCGGACAACAAAAATTTTCGGAAAATGTCATTCTCGATCAAAACAACAGACCCATTGGACCGAATCCTCCTATTTTTCAAAGCAAACCCAGTCCGTTTGTAAAGCCTCAAGCATTTTTAACAACCGGTGCACAACCTCCCCTTGTTCAAGGTCAAACAGTCGTGCAACAACAAGGACTGCTACATCAAACTCTCGTACAACAACCAAGAGTACCACAGACTAATCATTTTAGAGATTCTATTTTGACTCCGCCGCCAGTTGCTAATTTTACTGCTCAAAATACCGTTGTACCGGGACGTGAAAAAGAAGAAATACAATTACTATACGTTCCTGTTGAAACGTTAAGGCAAAGAGGAAATTTTCAACAGCAATTTATTTCCCAACAACAGCAAAAACAGCAAGTGTCAAACATTCCGTTTCAGGCAAGACCCAACATTGCATCTCGACCAAGTAGTACGTTAAATCAAGGCATCACGACCTATCATCCTACGGAACCTACCACCACTACAAGTCATCAGCCGAAAGGACATTTCGTCACTCAAAATCAAGGTCAAACCGTCAAGCTCTCTTCCTCTCATCCATTCACTACGGCACCAACTCCAGCAACAGTATTTTTCCAACACGTTCCCACTCAATCGACTCCAAACGCATTTGCTTCCGCTACTCCTGTTCCCCCTGCCACATCTACATTTCCAACACCCTCTCCTGTTGCGCAAAAGTTCACAGCTTCCGTTCCAGAAACAACGTTGCCTCATTTGTCAACCGTTCAAAATACGATTCCGTACACGTATTCCGAAATTCAATTCGGTACGACACCTAAAACCTTTATCACGGAAGAAGGCCTTCGCGAAGAAATAATAAATGGAAAACCACAATTCGATGAATACGAAAATCAAAAATTTCAAACAAATTTAAAACTTCAACAGCAACAGCAACGTCAACAACCTCAATCATTTATTATTCAAAAACAAGAAAATGACAATCAATTTAATAGAAATAAACTGTTTTATCAACAACAAAATCAAGAAATTCAATCAAACAGAAACGTGAATTTGCAAAATCAACAAGAACTTTTATTACAAAAACAACGAGATCAACAAAAATACCTTCAACAGCAAAAAGAACAAGAATTACGGGAACAATATGCTTTAAAAAAGGAAATCGAAGAACAAGAAAAACTCAATCAACAACGTCAAAGAGAATTAGAAGAAAAAAAATTACAAAGGCAAAGAGAACTTGAAGAACAAAGATTATTACAGGAAAAGAAACAAAAAGAATTAGAAGAACAAAGGCTTTTACAATTGCAGCAAGAGAAAGAAGCCGAACAAGAAAGGTTATTGCAGGAACAACAGCAACGGGAATTGGAAGAGCAACGCAGATTGCAAAGATTAAAAGAAGTTGAAGAAAAACGTCTTCTGCTACAAAGACAACGTGATCAAGAAGAAAAACGTTTACTTCGTTATCAGCAGCAGCAACAAAAAGAAAGGGAAGAGCTACGTTTATTACAGCAAAAACAACAAAAAGAAGCAGAAGAACAACGTTTACTACAGCAACAAAAACTCGAAGAAAAAAGATTGTTGCAATTACAAAAACAAGCAGAATTAGACGAACAAAACAACCGCCTTTTACAAGAACAAAAGGCCGAAAGAGAAAAAAATGAAAATTATAAAATACAACAGCAATTATATCAGATACAACAACAGCAAAATTTTCAATCTACTAAACAAAGTATACCGCAAACGACTGTAAAACCAGAGACGCATTTCATTCGAGAACCAGATAATGCCAATTTAATATCCCAATTGGAAAAAGAGACCAGCGATGAAACTTCAGAATTAATTCCTCACCAACCTCCTCTTTCTGTTTTTTACAAAATCTCTGGCAAAGGCGAACCTCGCATTGTCGACGTCCTCAAAGAACTAAGAAATTCAAAAACTATAACCGTTTTGGATCAATATTTTGATGAAATGCCAAAAGTTTTTGTTGGTCCGGCTGGCTTAACCTCTCCATCAGGTTACAATAAATTTGAATTACCGTACCTTTCAAATATCGAATCCGAAGCGAACAATAAAAAATTAGACAAATTGCCCTTCTTTGTAGCTCCCTTAAATTTCGTTCCTCCACTCGGATATTCTAAAATACCTTTCCCTTCGCCTCATGTCGGATCCGTTGTTGTATCCAGCGAATCTAATCCTGCCATGAAGGGTAATTTACCGGAAAATAGTGCTACCGTTTTGTCTGAAGACGATTCGGAACCTACAAGTTTTCCAGCTGTTGGACCGGAACTTCCAGGTCTTATTAACAGTCTTGAAACGGAAACAACAACCGCCAAACCGACTACTCCTTCTCTTCCTCAAACAACCGCACAATTAAGTAATAGAAGACCAGGCAGCAGTTTGTATCGGCCGAGGAAACCCATTTCAAGAACCAGAGTAGTTTCTACAACGACAACTACTAGCACTACAACAACAAGCAAGCCAAGCAGTTATCAAGGTCAAAAAACAAACGATAATTCTGGTGAAACGAATGTGAGAAAACCTTACAACCGATTTAATCTCAAAAGAAGAAGACCGCAAAGTAAATCGACAACAGAAAGCTCAGTTAAATCTCAAACCGAAAGCAAAACATTTGAAAATAGACAAGATGCTGCGCAAAGTATTCAGCAGAAAACTCTAAAATCACCTTCTACGAAATACGGTAATTTTCTAGCGGGAAAACGACAATTCGTTAATCAAAATATTGACAGAACGTCTGAAATTCAAAATGGCTACGAACTTCCTTCTTCTCCCAATGAATACAAAACGCAAATTTCTGGAAATTTAGGAGGATTTAAAGAGCAAACTTTTAAAAACAATAACGAGCAAAATAATTTTCAACTTTACGAAGACGGACCCTTTCCAACCGGTTCAGCTAAAAGTATAACCCACGAATTGTACAAACCGGAAAATTATAAATTTAAAAAAAATCAAGATTTTCCCGAAAACAAAGACACGTTAAGTGTCACCTTACAACCTGATACAACTTTATCACCGGAAAAATTCTTCGACGAATCAAATCAACCAAAAATATTTGAAAAATCTAGTTTTTACTCTACAGTGGAACCTAAAAAAGTGTCGCAAGAAAAATTTGATGATGTCAACGGTATTCGCACAACGCCTTTAACTAATAATAATGATGGCAATAAATTCAGTGCTCCGACGGTTACTCCAAAATATTATGAAAGCCCTCAAAATACAAAAACTGACAGCTTTCAAGAAGCTAGTAATGAGGAAATTTCAGAAGAGGAACAGCAAACTACTGAACAAGTAAATTTTGAAGATACTTACACTGCAGCTTTTGCTGAAATTTCTAAACATCATCATATTCCTCGACCTCTTAGTTCGACTCGAAAACATGAAACTAAAACCTCTGAAATTCACCCGACTCTGGAACTTTCATTAGACCTCGAAGCTCCTTCCACAGAAGACGTACCTAAAACTTCTCAAGAATTTTCAAAGGAAACAAACTCATTAAGTCAAACTAATAAATTTTTATCTCAACCGACACCGACTCAACCGTCAACAAATGAATTTTCTTTTCGACAAGATTTATCAAAGACATCAAATTTCAAGAGTTTTGCCAATCACGGTGTAGTTCCTACACAAGAATTAAACAGCCAAAAATTTGGCTCATCTTCTTTTAGCACAGTACTTCCTACCACTCAAGGTTTTTCGAATAGTCAGCATCGCAGCTCCACGGTTTATGAAACCTTGAGGAATCAAAAAGTTGGTCCAACTGTACCTGGAGTGATTAATGCTAAAGATGTAAATTCAGCATCGTTTAATGTTGATAAGAAATCGAATCCTTCTTCCGTAAGTCCTTTAAGCAACCAAGAACTCACTTCGGTTAATTTTGAAACTGAAAATGAAGAAATTGGTTCGACTTTTTCGGGAGTGAACAACAATCGTAAATCTCCTAATTCAAATTTTTTCAATCTAAATAATCAAAAACGTGTTAATCCAACAGTTCAAAGTTCATTCAATTACGAAAGAGTTAATCCAACTTATTACAATACTTTTAACAATGAAGAAGTAAATCCAACCTTATATAGTGGATTCAGCAGTGAAAGAGGTAATTCAGAAGTACACAGTACTATCAGTAGTGAAGGAGTTAATCCAACAGTATACAGCACTATCAGCAGTGGAAAAGTTAATCCAACAGTGCACAGCACATTTAGCAGTGAAAAAGTTAATCCAACCGTACATAGTACTATCAGTAGTGAAGGAGTTAATCCAACGGTACACAGTACTATAAGTAGTGAAGGAGCTATTCCTACAGTACAAAGTACATATAGCAATGAAAGAGTTAATCCAACACTCTATAGTACACTCAGCAGCGAAGAAGTCAACCCAACAGTGCACAGCACTTTTAGCAGTGAAAAGGTTAATCCAACAGTTTTTAGTACTTTTAACAAGAAAAAAGTTAATTCAACAGTCTACACTACTTCTAAAAATGAAGAAATTAATCCGACAGTCTACACTACTTCAGAAACTGAAGAAATTAATCCAACAATTTACACTACTTCTAAAAAGGAAAAAATTAATCCAACAATCTATACTGCTTCTAAAAATGAAGAAATTAATCCAACAGTTTACAACACATTTGACAATGAAGAAATTGATCCAACAGTACTCAGCACAATTACCAGTGAAAAAGTTAATCCGACAAAGCAGATTAATTTAAAAAACGAAAGAGTTAAATCAACGACACGCAATACATTTAAAAGCGAAAGAGTCAATTCATTATCTTATGACGAATCAAACGATAAAACAATTTCTTCGACTGCATCCGGAGCGACTGAAGGACAAACAAACAATTTTGGCAATTTCGGTACTGTAAACGGTCATGGGGTAAACCCAACGTATTTTACTGTTCCAGACAATCAAGAATTTAGCTCAGTTGCTTATGAGGAAATAAATACAAAAGTAAATCCAACTCTTGCAGTAACCATTAATCAAGGCACCAGTTCTTCAAATTATGAAAATAAAAATCTAAAAGTCAATCCGACTTCTCCTGGTACAATACAGGCTTTTGGAACAGTAAGCAATGAAAATATAAAACCGACGGTTCCTGGCGAACACAGAAACCATGAAATAAGTTCTACACTTTTCGACGAAAACAACCAACAAATTAATTCCAGACTTCCCGAAAATTACAATGATTACAAAACTGATCCTACAAGTTACAAAAAAGAGAGTGAAGAAGAAAACGGAAGCGTCACATTTGGAGTTCGCAAACAATATGAAACAATTAATCCCACTGTGTCTGGACCCATAAGTACTGCAAAAACTGCTACGTCAACTTCTGATAACATTAACAACGAATACGAAACCGAAAATTTTGTCAGTACCAAGACTACGTTAAAATCAATATCGGAAATACAACCGGAAGTAGAACTGGCTGATACTGAAGATTTTCATACCAAACCGGCATCTAAAGTCAATTTTCAAACTTACAAATTTCCTTCGAGATCGAGAGGGCAATATACACCGAATTTTGAAAGAGATGTAAGCTCTAATACTAAAGAAAAGGAGACGACATTTGCAACAAATCCTTCTTCTAAGGAAGTTACGGAACAAGGCATCACAAATAGTTTTAAACCAGTTAAAACTGATGACCTACCAACTGAAGATAACAATCAAGGTAACGACGAAACTCAAAGCTACGTTACCAGACCCAAACTTCCCGCTACTTCAGGACTTAGAGGACGAGCAAGAATAAGAAACAAGTCAAAGAACTCATTCAGTTATAAAGATTCTCGAACATCAACAATCTCACCTTCAATAAGACTATCATCAGAAAGCCAGAACAATGAAGACACAAATCAGGAATACACAACTAAGAGTACCAAACTTCCTGGTAATCAACGAGTTAAGTTGCCAAAATACAATAATTTTAGATCGGGGAAAAAACCAATCAGGCCAACTACTGAAGCAACAATCGAAGGCGAACAAAAATTAAACGTGTACACCGTAAGACCACACAAGAGACTTTTAAATCCATCAACGGTGTCAACCAAAAGAATTCGAAGACCCACATCTCCAGCTCCTATCGTAGAAACATCCACGGAAACTCTCGTCACTTATAAACCGGAAACATATTCAGAATCTTACGAACCAGCATTTCCAGCTTCCGGTGTGAGCAATGATGTTTATTATGAAAATACCAGGATTTCTTCGTTGAACCGAAAACTTAAAAAACCTTACGATACTTCTGAACAAAAGAATGATGCCATCCTTACTGTTGTACCCACATCTTATCCTTCCACTGCTCCTAGTTACCCAACATACGTAGATCCCCTTTCATTTGTACCAACAGAAGAAAAAAATGATGAAAGTTTTAAAAATTCAAAAGAGCAAAACGATGAAGATTCTAAAACTTCGGAAGAAGAAAATGGTAGCGGTTCTAAAATTTTGGAAAATGTACCATCCGAATCCTTTCAATCGTCAGAAATTTCAAAACCGTCAGAGCAAATAGAATATGATTCTCAAAGTTATTCTAACGGAGGTTCAAATTCCGAAATTGAATTACCAAGTAATCAAGATCTATATTTAACCACGGTTCGTTCGGTTAGTTCTTTAAAACCAATCGATTCAGAAGAACTTAAAAAATTTCACGATGGCAAAAAAGCATTCGATCCAGACTTAGAGAAAAAGGTAAGTTTGCCCTTTTTTTTGCGTCATCTACTTTTTTATTATAGGCAATTTCTTTACTTGAATGCTTTTATAAAAGAATATATAAATAAAAATTTGTGAGAGTAGATTTTCTGAGGGAGTCATAAACAAAAAAAAAATTTTCTTTTACAGAATGGAAGACGAAGAGTTCGGGTCAGAGTGCACAAAAGGCCTCATGAAAATTTCGAAACCGCTGAATCACAAAATTTGAGAACCGTGGCAAATATTTTGATACCTCCAACATCAACGTACAAACCATTCGATATAAACAATTATCAAAGTGCCAAAAATTCAGAATATTCAATTGGAGAAAATAAATTTGGAGTCCGAAGCCGAGAATATTTTCAAAAACATTTAAATATATCTGTTCCGATTCCAAACCCTCCGACTGAAATAAAAAGCGAAACCAATCAGGAAGTAGTAAGCAAATACTTGCGTACGGATAATGAACAATTTTACGGAGGTTCTTTGGAAAATCAAGAAACCGACACGATATTAGATGACGTTCCAAAAATTTACTATAGGAATGGTCAAGAAATTTTTATACCGGATCTGAATGATAAACCTGCGGGTGAAACATCTAACGGTAAAAGGCAAAGAACCAAATTTAGAGGCTACATACGAAAACTCGTGAAAAAGCCTATTACCCGTAAAGAAGAAGAGGAAAAACCCGTGAGCATTCCACAATCTTTCGAACCCGTAATAAAAGAAACAAGAGAAGAAAATTTGGAAACATATTCTTCGCCGAAAACTACAGTTATTAAAAATTTTGATCATGGTAAAAGATTCAATACCACAAGGCAAAAACCATCATTAGTCAGATATACAAAGAAAAATAAAATAAAAGCACAAACTGAAGACGCTTTAGAAACAGAAATATTAAAAACCGAACAACCGGAATTTCACGAAACTACACCTGCGGAGATACAAAAACCTGAACCTGTAAAAGATACCCCTCTATCGGAAGTTCAATTTACTCAGCTCACGGTAGTGGATCACACAAAAGAAAGTGAAGTTCCTAAAACTGTGCCATTCGTTGAAGTCACAACAGAACAACCTACAGTACAGCCGGAAGAAAAATCTGAAACTTTTCAAACGAAAACCGTTTTCGCAACAACCGATACGCTGGAAACTCACAGTACCGAATCACTAATTCAACTTCCTGAATCGAACACTGAAATATTCGAATCAAATACTGAGATACCACAAACGACGAAAGCAGCCGAAGGTGAATATTTAACTAAATCAATATTTGCCACCTTAGAACAAGCCATAACAAAATTATATCCAGTGCCTTCGGAAGCACCCAAAGAATTAATTGAAGAACATTCTAGCGAACCATTGGAAGTTAGCTCTGTGAAAACATCAGACGAAAAGTTTCCTTACAGGCCAAAATCTTATCAGGGAATAAGACCGTTATTCCAAAGAGCTCAAAATTCTGGTTACGTTCGAACAAAAGAATCAATTTCTGGTAATGGTCAATCTTTTTCGGAACAGCAAGAAAAAAGAAGTAGATTAAATAGGTATAAGTTCGGAAGGTACAATTCATCGGATTCGAATGCAAAAGAAAACAGTGAAGATGATAAATCTTACAGCGGAACCAGAAGTAGTTCAATAAGTAAAAGCAAAACTAATAATTTAGATTACAGAAAGTATTCCAGAAATAAAAACAGAGAAGGAGGCTTTACTCAGTTTTTTAGAAACCGATATTCTACGTCACAAAAAACAGAAAGTCAATCAACTGAAGGTGAAAAAACTCAGTCTGTAGATTATCAAACTTTAACTGCTTCAACTGAAAAATTAACTACAAATGAAATTAAATATGAATCTACGACGGAAATTCTTGAAACATCTACAGAAAAAGAATTGAAAACAACTCAAAAATTTGAAACTGATACTACTAAATTAGAAACCAGTGAAACTGAAACAGGAACAGAATTTGAAACGGATACTACCAAATTAGATACAACTGAAACAGGAACAACAGATTTTAAAACAGGCACCACTAAATTAGGTACAACTGAAACAGGAACAGATCTTAAAACAGGCACCACTAAATTGGAAACCACTGAAACAGGAACAACAGAATTTAAAACTGGTACCACTAAATTAGATACAACTGAAATAGGAACAGAATTTAAAACTGATACCACTAAATTAGAAACAACAAAATCTGAAACAGGAGCAGATTTTGAAACTGCTACTACTAAATTAGAAACAGCCAAAACTGAAACAGGAACAGGTTTTGAAACAGACACTACTAAGTTAGAAACAACAAAATCTGAAACAGGAGCAGACTTTGAAACAGCTACTACCAAACTGGAAACATCCAAAACTGAAACAGGAACAGAATTTGAAACTACAAAAGATTTAGAATGGTCAACAGAATTAGAAAATAACGAAGAGTATTTGACAACAAGTTCACCATCAACTAACAATGATGTTACTAAAGCAATTAGTATTTTGACAACACTTTTTGACACGACATTCCCAGAAAAAACCTCACAATCTGAAACAGAAACAAGTACAGCAATCACACCAGAATCAACAGAAACATACAATTTAGAAACTCAACCAGATTTATTTAGATTTGCTAAAGGCAGTTTTAGATTCGATGAAACCGAAAAATTCACTGGCACCAAAAACAAAGATCATGTACGAAACATCACTGCTGAAATCATTGAAAACACATCAAGCTTTTCCGCACCGGGAGCTGAAAAACAAAGCGACCTTTTCGTTTCACCAATTGTTAGTAATGAAAATTATAAATTATCAACGGAACCAAGTGTAGAAAAAACCGACAACAACGATGATGAAACAGATAAGACTGAAAATAAAACGTTTGAACTTACCTCAGACGAATCGACGACAACGAATCTCGAAACAACGGATGATTCATCTAATGCCACGAAACCCGTCAGCCAATCAAAAACTTCGAAACAAGTCAAAACATCAACTACGACAAAAATCTCTCACGAAACAGAAATTTGTTACCGAGGGAGATGCATAAGAACGAAATCAGAGAATCCAGACGAAGAATTAAAAAAACTAGTCGATTCATCAGCAACTGAAATCGATAAAAATAATACGTAAATAATTATATTTAAATATTTTAATTAAAAATATTTTAATTTAAGACAATAATTAATTAATTTAGATTGGTTTATTTGTAATTGGTCATGGAGGAGGTCGTACTGTCTTTCACAGGGAACATAATATATATTTATTGATGCACATAAACATTTGTACACTTATATTTACAGTATGAACATATTTTGTTTTTTATTATTCGTTTCGAATTGAGAAATGATTAAATAAGGAAACGACAGTTGTGTATGAGAATCAAGTACAAAAATGGATGATTATTTTTGACTAAAGAAGATGAAGGAAGATGATTTATATGTGTTTCTTTTTTAAAAGAATAAAAATCATTAAAAGTATTCTAATGTAAAAGAGAAAAAAAATAATAATTTTGCCAAATTTATTTACTGTAAGTGACAAAAATAATATTTTGCAACAATTATTTTATTATTTTATTTATCTTATTATAAAAGATTTTGACAATCGCTTAAATTTTTTTTAAACTTATAAATGTAAATAAAATAAATAGATTTTAAAAAAAAAAATGGCAAAATTATTTACTCGAATATTAGAACATCTTTTTTTTAATTTATTATTATTATACGAATGAAATAATATCAAATTTTTATTCTTTTTAAAAATTTCACTATTTAAAAAAAAAAAAAAACTGTAATATGTAATTTTATTATTATTATTTGTACTATTAAAAATAATTTTAATAATAGTCCAAAGAATTATTTATGGTTTTATACGAAATAACGAACGAATTGCTTAATAAGTTTAATTAATAATATTAATAATTATAATAATTATTATGTAACTATGATATTTGTTAAATAAAGTTTTTTTTAAATAAACTTACAATTATTTATTTATATTTTTAAAAAAAAATTTTTTTGAATGAAATTTTTTATTGTTGATTATTTATCAAAACCAAAGCCCTTACATTTCTGAAATTGGGAAAAATCACGTGAATTTTTTATTTCAATTAATAACAAACCAAAAAGAAATAATTAATTAATTTTAACTCCTTAAAAATTAAACTTAGGCAATTTTACATACACTCCTGTATCGGAAATAATTTGCTGTTTTTTTCCCACTCTCTCTAATTAAAATTAATAGAAATTTTTTTTTTTTTTTATAAATTTATTGAAAAAAAAAAAAAAGTACGCCCAGTGATTTTTTTTTTTTCGTACGATCGGAAACGATATTTTCGAACATTCTAGAAAAATTATCGAAGTGACAGTCGTAATTATATAAATCCTATAATAAAATTCGTACGTACACGCATATACTAAAAGGAGGATTCGAGAACGTCCATTCTCGCCCACGTTTAAAATGTAGGAAGATGTTTAACGAAAAAAATAACCTTAAGGCTAAAATTCGGCACCGAGGAGGACAACCCAATAGAATAAATCTCCATTTTAAAATTTATTCACAAAAAAAAAAAAAACATTTTCAACAACGTAAAAAAAAAAAAAAGGTAAAGAGCCTCGCCCAAAAAAAAAAAAAAAAATTATTTATATATTAAAAAATAAAATAAAATAAAAGACGAGAAATAAACGTGATACGAAATTAATTTACTAATCGTACCTTAATTTCAACCGAATAAATATTTTTTTTTCATTAAAATAATAATAATAATAGTAAAAAACCTAAAAAAATTATGAATGAATATACATGTATACTTAAGGATTATTTTGTTGTTATTATTATCATTTAAAAAATTTATGTTATCACTTTTTAAAAAAAAAAAAAAAAAACAAATTTTAATATAAACAAAACGAAAAAAACTCGTTAAAAAAATAATAATAATAATAAAACCCACGTGAAAATATTTAAAAATTAAAAAAAAAAAAAAAATCAATATTATTATAATAATTAATTAATAATCATAAACGATTTTTAATAAAATAAATTTTTTTTTTAAATTTTTATCACGTGTGATACGTTTACAGGTATAAATTAAAAAATAAATTTCTTATCAAAAATCCCTTTCCCCCCCCCCTCCGCCTCCCCGAAAAAAAAAAAAAGTTTATTATAATTAATTTTTTTCCTATTTACAATCAAAACAAAACCAGTTTTTTATAAACTATCACAACCTAAGTTCCTTCCCTACTAATCATACACGTTCATTCATAAAAAGTTCTGGAGACTTTGAAATTTTTTTTCTTTTTTTCTCTTTAGTTCGAGACTAGACTTCATTCAGTCAACATCATCATCATTATTTTTTTTTTTTTTTATTTACCCGGTGTTGTTGTTGTTGTTGTGTTATCATTTTGTTTGTTTTTTTATATATTTAAACGATAGTAAACATTTTTTCTTTTAAATTTTCCATATAATAATTTAATTAATTAAAAGGAGAATATATAAATTATTATATTATTTAAAATAAACATTTTTAAAAATAATTAAAAAATGTTTTTTAAATTTTTTTTTTTTTGTATAAAAAATTTTATATTTAATGGATACCGAAATATTTAACGAGGTAATTATATTAATAATAATAATAATAATAATTTTTTATTAAAAGCTAATCCGCGAAAGCGATATAAGAAACGATATTCTTTTAAACGTTGAAACTAACTATATAATAATAATAGTAATAATAATAGTAATAATAATAGTAATAATAATAATAAAACATTCCTTTTTCTTTTGTTATATTAATATTATTATTATTATTGTTGCTATTATTATTATTATTATTATTGAAATTCCTATTAAAACGGACACGGTTTGGGCGTATCGTGTGTAAGATATATAAATTTTTAAAATTTTTCTATTAATTTAAAAAAAAAAAACGACCTTTAACTAAATAAATAAATTTAACTATAAATAATAGATCCGTTATTGTTATTGTTATTATTATTATTATTATTATTAATATATCGTTAACGATTTATCGTTAAATGATAATAACAAAACAATAAAACTGATTTTCCTTTTAAATTTTAAATATTTTCACATAACCTACGAAATATAATAAAAAAATTTTTTTTTTTTAAACAACGTAATTAAAATAACATTAACTAATAATAATAATAATAATAATAATAATAATTGCATAACGTTTTTTTTTCTTAAGTGTTATTGTAAATTAAGAAAGTCAAAAAAAAAAAAAAAAATTTCGTAATGATAATAATAATAATAATGAATTATTAAAAGTGTATTAATTTTATACCCGTATAATTGTTATGAAATAAATGAAGTTTCATGCGAACTTTTTACAATTTTCTTTTCTTTTCATTTCTTTTCGGTAAGGAAAAATTATTTTTCACGGTCACATCGGATTTATTATCGTCGTAAAACTAATAATAATAATAATAATAATAATAATAATAATGCAACGAGAGAGTAAAAGAAAAAAAAATTTAATTATTATTATATGAGGAAGCCGTTAATGGGTTTTTCTAACCGAATAACAATAACAAGTAGGTTGGAAAAAGGAGGTGGAGGAGGAGGAGGAGAGTGGAAGGGAACGAGGTGGGGGTAGTCAGGGGGATAAGGGGGGGTTTTGAAATAATATTTATTAATGAACATTTCGTTAATTATTATTTACTCGCTCACAGTAAAAAAAAGGAAAAAAATTTATTATTATCATCGTCGTCGTGTGATTCACGTGTTATTATTAAATAAATAAATAAAAAATTATCTACGATTGATTGATTGATTGATTGATTGATCGATAGATAAGAATTTTTTTTTAAACTACAAACGTAACGAGGGCAAAAATTATTATTATTATTATTATTATTATTATTATTATTATTATTATTATTCTATCGATTTATTTATTGATTTATCGATTTTATTTTGTGTAGGAACAAAATATTTTTTTTTTTTTTTTAAATTTTGTCGTAGGTTTAAAATTTTTTTTTTTTTGACCTTTCTGTACCTTTTAAGAAATTTTTTTTTTTATGTACTGATGTGGAATGAATGAATGAATGAATGATTGAATGAACAAATTCATTTTTTCTTTTTTTGAATGTAAAATTCGTTATAAAAAGTTTTATAATTTTTTAATTAAAAAATTTTTTTCGTCTTTTAAATGTCAAACTCGTTCATTATTATTATTATTATTATTATTATTTTAGCCCGAACACTCAAAAATCACCTTAATAATAATAATAATTTTCAATACTCATTTCAGGAATAAATAAATAATCGTTTTGAGAAAAAAAAATTTAAATAACAATAAAAATTGTTTAAATAAATAAATAAATTTTTTTAACTTACTTCTGAAATTTTTATTATCATTATCATTATTATTATTATTATTAAAATATTTCCAGATGATTTCGTACACTTTATAAATTATTTAAATTTTTTTTTTTTATTGTTATTTTTTTCTCTCTCCAGCATTTCGATAAATAAATAAATAATAATAATAATAATCTTTAATTTATTTTATATTTAAATATTTAAAAAAAAAACAGTGAAATTTTGTTTGTTTTATTTTTATTATTATTATTATTATTATTATTATTATTATTATTAAACTTTTAAGTTTACATAATTAAATAAA